TTGGCATCAATCTTATGTGACAGGAAAAGCAACACCACAGATTCAATAGAAGATTTGAGGGAGGGACATAACTGAGACCATTAAGAAGAGCAAACATAGATAGGCTAGCCACATCCCATGTCTTGGAGACAACAGGTAGACTATTAGAGTGACAGAGTGGAAAAGAAATAGAGGGTGGCCAAAGTCAAGATAGTGAAGTGATCTAGCCCAATATTTCCACATGGCCCAGTATGGCCAGATAGGAAGTGGTGGAGGTCAACCTGGGAAGGGTTCCTCCAACAGGAAGTAGAACATCCTGGATTTGGATCAGATTTGGATAAATATTATTGAGGGTTACTGCCCAGACTCAGTGGCTGAAATGATAAATACACACCTGTCTCTCTCTCTCTCTCTCTCTCTCTCTCTCTCTCTATATATATATATATATATATATATATATATATATATATACAAAGACTAAGAATAGGCAAAAAATATGTGAATATCATATAGAGAATAGTTTTCAAGTGGATATCCCACACTACTATCATTTGCACTCACAGTTCATGTAAAAATGTATGCTATATGTGTATTGCACAATAACATTAAACATCATCATGCATTAGAAATCAAATAATGAGTATTGATAATAAAAATTAGTGTTGACTAAATTTTGTGAGTTTAGTAGGCATCAAGTTTAATGTACAAATTTTTACTGCTTTAATCCTACAAATATATACTTCATCTAACTTCAGTTCTAAAATAAGTTTTGTCATTGTACACAATAAGAAGCCTTTTCATTTGAATTACACATTTCTCTTTCCAGATCTTGATCTCTATAGAAATAATATGAATCCACTACTGGGAGAATACCTAATTTGATTCCACCAGTCTCCATTTATGAAAACTACCTAACAGAGGTGCCAAGATATCCATTTGTGTTAGGTGATGTGATTATGTAAGATTTTCACCTACAATGTTTCACTCTTTACTTTCACAGAACTCCCCAAAGAACATAGAATCATTCCTTAAGAATTTGATTTGTTTCAGATAATGAAGTACACAATAGATTGCAATTACCAGAGACATTTGGACTTGTTCTACATTTGTAGCTTTTGTACATAAATGTCTTGTACAACAATACAAAAATCCCCAAAGTGTTTGGCTTGGTCATAATTAACTCATTGTTACAAAACAATGTAATATTGGTGGGGAGCAGCAAAAATACTAATATTCTTTACATTTAAATTCCTGTTTTGAAAGTGATTTATTTCTGCTTGTTATTGATTCTTCTGCTTCAGCCATTATTGATTCAATAAATAATGTATAATTTAAACTTAAGTTATTTTAAGCTACTAAATTACTTACAACTAAAATTTAGACAGAAAATAATGTTATGGATATTTACAATAAATGTATCCTGAAATGCATTTGTTAGTAACTAATAATATAGTCTTCCAGAATTATTTTATATTATAAAAATATAATTTGATAAAATTATGTGTTATTTCAGTTTTTTCCTTTAGTTCATTTGATGGCCTTATTTTTTTTCCTAGAATTTCAGTTCATTTGATAGCCTCTATTATTTGTTAACTCATAAGTGCTACATTTTATTAGTTTGCAAATTAATGAACAACTATATTCTCCCAATTAAAAAAGGTATATTGTTAAAAATATGAGGGTGGGATGAGAAGTTCAGAAGTTGACTATGAAAGATTATAGGCCAGAAATGTGAAATATTGCATGCATTTATTTCAACTCTTCTTATTAATAACTGCATTGTTTATTTCCAGGTAAACTGACATCTGACTGCCCAAAGAAGACTGTTCATCCTGTTGGTCAAAAAAGTCATTTTGCAATATTGCTTCCCAAAGTATTCTTTATGTTAGAGAACAGATGATAGTCAAATCATGAGAATAGGGAGGGTGATCAACTAATTTAAATCCACGGTCATGCACAGCAGCCATAGAAACCAAGGACTTGTGTGTTGAAGCATTTTTTCAGTTTTCCTGGGCATTTGGTCTTGACAGACTTTCTTAACTGTCACAGCCAGTTGGCATAGTACTCACCATTGACGGTGTAACCTTTTCAAAGATAGACAATAAACACAATACCTTTTGCCTCCCAAAAAACTGAGGTCATCACCTTCTCTGCAGATGAAACTACCTTGATCTTCTTTGAGGAGAGGTGTTTCCACTGCTTAGATTATTTCTTTTTGAATCAAAGTGATGGACATACCCATTATCCTGGGTTTCCTAACATTCAAGGAAGCTAGCTGGGTTTGCCTCAAACAATATTAGATTTTCCTGTGATGTAATCAATTTGCACTTTTGTCAGAAGATGTGGCACCCAGCAAGCAGAAACCTTCATCATGATAAATTCATTGTGCAGAATATTCTCAACTCTCTCATGAGATATGCTAATCACATTGGGTATTTGATTTATAATCAATCCCCATGTGGTGAATGTGATCAATGTTTTCGTCAATGATGACAGTTGCAAGACATCAAGACATTGAGTCATCTTCAGGACTCTCCTTTCCCCCTTCTAAATTCAGCTGCCCACTTTTGCACTGTTGATAAAGCTGGGAGTATCATCCCCTAAGATAGAAACCACATGAACATGGATGTTCTTGGAGGCTAAACCCTTTTTTTGTAACTACCTGATAACACCACAATGCCAAATTTTGTCCATTTCCAAGAGAAGTCATTACTTGTTACTTTTGAAATCTTCTTTGAACAGTCAGATGTCAGTTTGCCTGGAAAGAAACAATTCAGAATAAGAAGAGATGAAATTAATGCATGCAAGATTTCACAGCTCTGTCATCACTCTTTTATAGTCAGCCTATGAACTTTTCAGCCCACTCATATTTCAAACAGCATAAAATATGATCTTTCTGTAATGAGTATCACCATCTAATAAAACTTATAATGTCCCAAAATTTGGATAACACATCACTGTTATAAAATAAAATAAGACATATCTCGGATGATTTACAGGCAAATAAACTAACATACTCAAGAGCAAGAGCCGGATGTGAATGAGAGAAGGCCCCGTCACAAAATGACCATTATCTTCATTTACACATGTTCCCAACACACGAGTTCCGGTCGAAAAATAAAATAATATTTTAAAGTGTTTCTATTTTTCGACCAATAAAAATGCTTCCCTCCTAATTATACTCCATAAAAAAAACGCCATAAAAGGGGTCACACAGAAGTACAACAGCAGTCAACAGGCGGCCAGGAAGAGACCTATCACGGTCAGGCTGAGCGGTCAGCAGCAGTCAGCAGGGGGAGCACCAGCATCAACCAGTGTGAACTACTATGAGAGATCAACCCAGATTCGAAGCCGGCTTATGAACTTTACTACAAGGTAGCTGTCCCAAACCCACACATTCCTGTTGAAATAAATCACGTAAATCTATTTCTACTGTTGTCGTATTTCTTTCTTGCAACCATACACTTGTCTATAACATCACCTTTGTAAATCTCTAGATCAAATAAATATTAAAGAATAAATTGCTAAAATATTTAACCAAGTACATTCTAGCAAGAACTATCAGTAGAATAGAAAAATATTGGTAAATTTAGAAAAATATGTTTTTTCTTGCATGTTTTATAATAATGGTAAAAACACTAAATACTTATAGAAACAAACTTATGATACTTATTTTAAAAATGTTTACATTAATCTTTTATTATAAATAATAAATATAATCAGTTATACATTTCTTTAAAAAAAAATACAATTTTTGTTAGAACAAAATGAAACTGTTATTTTCATTTTTGAAGCAGTTCTGTGGATTCATAATATCCTGTCCATGTTGATAGATTATGATCTAATGTAATACAGTATGACATAAATTTTAGATACTAGAACAGTCACCAAGATCATATAGTAACTGTGATTTGCATTCCAGCATTACTCAAGTATATTAAACCATTACGCTTAATTTTGTAATGTCACCACAGAATGTCACTATTTTTTATCATTTGCTGTTTATCTCATTAACAACTGAAAAACTAATGCCATACAGGTATTCTATCCATGGGTGTACTGACCAAAAAGCTCTTCCAAAGATAATAATGCTACTTTTAAATATTTGGTTTAGGTTTTGGGATATTTTTCAGTACCTTCTCATAATAATGAGCAAAATTTATGCTTTTCACACATACAGTTGGGTTGGCAGTTATTATAAAAGGTTAACTATTGGCAAAGCAAGCTAAAACTCTCAAACAACTGACAGAATAGCAATTTTATAATTCAAAGAGGTTTTGAATCCTTATTTGCTAAGGTTGAAAAATCATGTCAAAAGTAATGCAAGAATATGTTAAGGTCTCATTATCTTACAACTGAAATAGCTAAATGTAACTGTAAGGTCAATGCCAACAGTTCCTTCTCACACACTTCTTGTTTGTGGAACTCTCTTTTAGCTTTTTGCTTTCCAGTCAAGTATGATCTTCAAAAATTTAAATGCAATTTCAATTGTTATCTTCTTACATCCTGTTCTCTTACTGTTTTACCTCCTCAATAATGTTTTTCCTTTTTTTATATTCTTTCACACTCAGTATGCCTTCCTGCATCATAGTTGCTTTATTGCCTTGCTTGGGATGAAATGATTAAAATAAAAAATAAACTTTACATACAAACTATGTGATAATGATAGAATCTATACAGATTAAGATGATTGTCTTCTTGTGTGGGAAACAAATTTCAAACACTCAAATATGAGTATGAAACCATATAACAATAAGTCTGATCTATTACGACATACCATTGAGTAATTTTGATTTCTGCTTAGTTAAAGGCTGAATCCATTTAGAACCTTTATTTATGCTAAGAGGCACAGTGAATGATTTCTGTTTATCTAAATACAGAATAAAAATGTTTTCTGAAAAATAGGAATTAAGCCAGTCCTTTGTTGATTCATTAGAAATGCTTTTCATGTTTTCATGATTAAGAATTACATGTATACATGATTATCATTGTTCAGATTGTTTGATGGGGATCCCACTTTGCTAACTGGTTTGGATCAAGAGTTTTGGATAAATAATTATTATCAAGAAATTGTTTTGCTCAAGTGAAGCAAATGAGTCAAGTTTTTGCAATATAAATATCTGTCCATTAATGGATGAAAGTCTAACAGTGAAAGAGTCTGCAGGAGTGACAATCAATTGCTTTGCAGGCAGACAGACTGAGAATTCTAGGGATAGGCTATAATTCAAATAAGATAGGAGAAAAAGAAAGCAAAATGAAGTGAAGGGAAGAAGAAGGATGAGACAAATAAGACACAATAGCAAGAAAGAAAAAATGAGAGAAAAATTGAAAGAAAGAAAAAAGTGAGAGAATGAGAGAAAAAGTGAGGAAAAGATTGAAAAAATAAAAAGTGAGAGAAAGATAGAAAGAAGGAAAAAGTTAGAGAAGAAAAATAAAAAATGAGAGTAAGAAAAAAATGTGAGAGTAAGAAAAAAGAAAATATGAGAGTAAGAGAAAAGAAAAGTGTGAGAAAGAAAGAAAAAGTGATTGAGAAAGTGAGAGTGGGAAAGAAAGAGAAAGTGACAGTGAGAAAGTGAGAGTAAGAAAGAAAGAAAGAAAGAAAGAAAGAAAGAAAAAGTGAGAGAAAGAAAGTGAAAGAAATATAAAGTAAGAAAAATAACGACGGAGCTTATAAAAAGAAATAGACTAGAAAAACAGAAATACATAAAAGGAATATAGAAATGAGCAATAGAACAAAAAAGAAAAACTGAGAAAAAAAGAGATAAAGAAAAACTGGAAATAAGTAAAAACTCATCTGTATTTCTTATAAAAATCGCACTTGACCTGTTATATTTAATGGATAACTTTTACTAGGCATTCATGAAATAGAATTACTTTTTGATGTATGATTATAGGAACATTGAGAGAACAACAATTATTATTTATATAATTGACTTAAACTAAGAAAGTATGACATCTCTTCTTAACAGAGAAACATTTTTCTCTTCTGTATTATGTCTCTATAGGATGTAGACAATCATGGGTCTACACAATTTCCTGGTTTTTGTTGCTCTAAGTAACTTTTAATGCTTTACCATCCCTCTTATTCCTTGTTCTGTCATCCATTATTCTCTTGCTTCTCTTGACTTCATTATGTCCTGTGAGTGTTAAATTTTCTAAGTTCTTAACTTTCAAATATCTTTTTATTGCAAGTATGTGTTCTTTTAGTTCCTGTTTTCCTTAAAACTTCCTTATTGCTCACATGTTCAGTTCATGGTATTCTCAGTATTCATTGGTAGAACCTCATCTTTGTCATTTCAAGTTTCTTTTTCATTTGTGTAGAGACTGTTCATCATTCACTGCCATATAAGAATTATTTCATAACATTTCAGCACTTTTCTTTGTTTCTATGGACATTGTCAGGCATTGGCTATCTACCTCTACTATGGGTTAAATAGCTTCACCAACCCGCAATTCGCTAAGCTTGGTGAGTACAGCAACACCTCTTTCAGACATGGTCAGTCAGGGAGGAGTTCTCTCAACAGGAATGAGAAGTCTCTGGATTTGGATTTGGAAGGACATTTTCCAGTATCTTAATACTTTACTTAGTTTCTAAAAGTCAGTTTTTTTCTATTCCTATTATCAGATTTCGTAGTTAAATTTCCTGTTATCTATTATCAATATTATTCTAATCAGTTAAATTTCTGTACTTGATTGATTTAACATCATCCCCAATATGGAACTCACATCTTTGGTTGCCTCTTTTGCTTATAACCATGCATTCTGCTTCAGTTAATATTCCTTTCTTCTTACTTTATGCTACTACCTTACCTAAGAGTTCTCTTGATGTTCCTTCAGTATTTGCCATCAATAGAGTGTTATCTGTGTACCTTATCTTATTAAGATTATATCTGTCAGTAATAAATCCTGGTAGTTTTTCTACTTCTATTTGCTTCATTTCACTGTGTATGTTAAACAAATCCTTGTCTTACTCCTATTTCTGGTTTTGTGTACTCATTGAACTTATTTTCTATCCACATGCAGGTGGTTTGTTCACAGTTATGGCTATTCTATTATTTTTTCTTATGTACATCAAGTTTTTGTATCATTTCAAGTGTGGGCCATTGTACTTTATCAGATGCTTTTGTAGAGCCTGAAGGCCTTGACAAAGGTCATCCTTCTTTGAACATTGTGGATTGACATTATAGGATCACAAATAAAAAACTGTACTAAATAACCAAAACCACATTATTTGAGGACTACCAACAGCAGCAATAACTTAAATGGATATTACATGTAACTTGAAGAGAAAATAATGACATAATCAAGATGTTGTCATTCCACACTATTTCAAATAAAAGCTTAGGAAGGAAACCCTTATCAATACTGGAAAGAGTGATAACAGCTACTAAACTTGAGAGATCTGTTTTGTGAAGAAATTTTAAGAGAAGAATTTTATAAATTTCAACTGAAAGCAGTACTGGCTGCTTAGTCAGTGAATACCAAATGTTTCCTTGTATGGAAACAGCTAATATTACCATTATCACTTGTGTGATCTATAAAACATAAGTATAAGTCTTCCACATTTGTATTGCTTGTTATTTAAATGTGAAATAAAATCTATGTCACATTTCAGGTAAACATAATATATCTTCATATTCACATGGAGAGTAATTTGCTTGAAACACAGTTAGGTGGATACATATATGTTAGGATAGATGGTCACCTCTTTGTGGTCTAATGGTTAGAAATCTTGTCTTGCTAGATCAATTTTTACTGAGTAGTAAGTTCAATACTCACTGAGTACCCCCATACTTTCGGCCTTGTGCCACATCTAAGCCGTGCTTATGTTAAGATAGAAATATGTCAAAGAATGATTTATGAGATTTTTTTTTTTTTTACCTTTTGGCATTTTTTGCTGATTTAGAAAAGAGGAAAAAGATTATTGGAAGAAATTTCAGCTTTAATATAAAAACTGTGAATATTTTCCTATTTAATCATTCATTGTGATACAACATTCATGATACAAAATCAGTTTTTATCTCTGCTTGCTATCAAGAAGATAGAAGTTTTATTCATTTTAAGGTATTCATGTTTTACATGTAACAAGAAACAGTTATACACTGATGTCCAAAACTTTTGGGCCACCTTGGTAAATTAATTACATTTTTAATTTTACACCAAAATCAAGAGTGATTAGGAGTATGCTTTTCTCAGCATATTTTATGAGGGCCAGATAACAATTTACTGCATTTTTGTTAATTCTGTATGGGAAATGATACTGATAAGTATAGTGATTCTGAAAAAAGGGAATGAAAATTTACTTGGCCACCAGTGAAAATTTCACCTTTCAGCATTTAAGTTAAAAAGGATTTTTTTTTTTTTTGCAAAAAGTGATCTTTATAATTACAGAAAGTATAAAATGTTAAAGTATGGAGTTAGTAATTAGTGTTGCTACCTTTGGCTCAAATAATTGCCCCACTTCAATGTAGCATTGAAAGGAACAAGGTAAAGATTTTCTCATTGGGAATTTTTTCCCATTCTTCATGGCAGTCATCCCAAAGCTCTTGGAGATTGCATATTTTTAATTGTAGCACTTTTTCCTTCAGTTCTCACTATAATGGTTCAATTATATTGAGATCAGGATTTTGTGGTGACCATTTTTCTAAAAGTTGAATATTTTCATTCATAAGAAACCTTTTGTTGCACAAGGAACATCAACATACTGAAGAATTTCTACATCTTTGTGGTCTTGCAGAAGGTTAGATCATGATAAACTAATATAGTTTTTGCTGTTTTATGTTTCCATCAACATTTACCAATTCACACACCATTATATGTCCACCACCAAATTTTACTGTATTTCTAGTATATCTTGCATTGTCTCTTTCTCCCACTGGTCTTTTTATATGTTCTCTGGCATTAAAATATAACTGTATTTTGTATTCATCACTAAAAATTACGTTTTGCTACTTTCCAATATCCTATGTTAGATGTTCTTTTGACTACTTCAATTTTCTATTCCAATGTTTTTTGGTTAATGATGATTTTTTTTGTGGTTATGCACCCATTCAAGTTGTTTTTGTAATACTCTGCATATTGTATCCACTCTTCACTTGTCTGTCTGTTAATTTTGGACTCTCTACTGAAATTCTCACAATCTTTCTTTCATCTCTCTTGTCTAATGTTTGTGGTCTTCCAGTTTTCTTTGCATTTAATACACTTCCAGTATTAACAATCATCTTTTGGATGGTTTGAACACTGTTTCTGGAAATTCCCAATCATCTGGCTATCTCTCATTGAGACAAATTTCCCTTCAAAAATCACAACCTTCATCTTTGTTTGAGCAGAGAAGTTACACATGATTTTCATGTAAAAATGCAATCTAATGTTCACCTTACACTTGTATTAACAAGATGAAACAATTTCTACTTAGAAATTTACATATTATCATGACTTTATCCTTTCAGATCTTTCAGTGCCCCAATGGTTTGCATAGTCTTTTTCAGCCTCAAGCTGCTTAAATTGGTATATCTTCTGTTACATGGCATATACAAAAATGAAAACAATTTATACTTAAATGTAAGAAAAAGGCTAAAACATTCAAAACAAAATTATCACATAAGCACAAAATCATTTTAAAATATTTTCTTTTTAGTAAAATAAATTTAAGTTAAAGAACTGAGTACTTTTTGTTACAATGTTTACTTGCAGACTTTTAAGCAATTAGAAATTTGTAATGCAATGAAGTAAAACACAATGTTTTAAAACTATTCTGTCGGGACAATAGCTTTTAAAGAGGCAGCCATTAATTTTTAAGTATGTTTACCATATTTCCTGGTTTGGTCATCACTGTCTCTTGGTTTTGAGGAATTTGTCCTAATGACCAGAATTTGATTTTTGTATCAGTTCTGAAACTTAAGGGGCACTGGGTTATGAACACACTTTATTATACAAGAACCTAAACTTATAATAAAAAATTGAGAAGTGTTGGAAAATTATGGTAAACCTAATTTTAAAATGCTTTCCCAATCATGAAATTGACCAAGTTTGTGAGCACTGGCAATTTTTCTGACCAATTACCTTATAAATATTTGTATACAGGCAAAAGACACACACACACACACACACACACACACACACACACACACACACACACACACACACACACACACACACACATATGTGTGTGTATGAGACAGAGAGAGAAACATTTACAAAGTCTTCTAAAAAGTTCTAAGTGTTTTTATTTTTATAATCTCTGCTTTCCTTTTTTTTCCAATTCGGAAACTTCTTTTTATAGCCAATTAAAAAGAGTCAAAACTGATTTTACAGAAAGAGTTTAACTAACTGAAAAGGCTATATTGTGGGAAAGTGTGTGCTTTTTATGATCTCTTAGGGAATTCTAAACCTATAAAAGTTGACAACTTCTTTTCTAATGATAGGGCTGAATGTATTCCTTGAGAGTACAAGTAAAATTTCTCATTGAGTCTTCAAACCTGTTTTTCAATAAGACACCGAAAAGACTGAAAAAAAACATTATGTGAGATATCTTCTATTTGCTGTATCCCTTCATGACAGGCAATCACGGCTCACCACAACCTCATATCTCATGTGGCCCTTAGCAATTTTTCTACATTTACTAAAGCTTTTGCCACCTGTTCTGCCATTCATTCACACATACTCATCAGGTAAATGGCTCACTACCTTCCTCTGTCTCTTTTGC